AAAAAAAAAAAAAAAAAAAAAAAAAAAAAAAAAAAAAAAAAAAAAAGCTCAATGGCATCTATCTCTTTTTTTGTTTGTTTCTTTTTTTGACAGGGTCACTCCATGTAGCCCCAGCTGTCCTGAAACTCACTGTGTAGACCAGGCTGCCCTTAAACTCCCAGAAACAAACCTGCCTATGCCTTCTGAGTGCTGGGATTTAAAGGTATGCACCACCACTGCCCACGCTGCATCTATCTTTAATTACTATCAGTAAATCAAAAGAGACAACCACCACTCTAGTGCAATCCTCCAAATTACAGAGTAGGGGATAGATCTCACCAATACACAGAGAAAGCTTGCTAGCGCAGCTCGGTGGAGCACAGCTCGGTGGAGCACAGCTCGGTGGAGCGCAGCTCGGTGGCAGAGAACTTGCTTAGCATGTGCAAGGCTTCAATTTCTAACACTGAAAAATGCATCTATTAATTTTTAAACTAAATAAGTGCACAGAGATGATGCCAGTAATCAAGTAATAAAGAACAAGGTTTCCCTCCTGGACATACTTATAAGAAAATGAAAAGCCATGTGTCCTATGAGAGCTAACGTCACGTGTCTGCACACCAAACCCTGTACTCTGCTTGTGTTCTAGCCCTTGCATCCTCACTACTGTATCATGCGCTTGGAGTCTGAAGAAGTCCAGCATTTCCCAAAGAGTATCTGATAGACATTCCCGTGTGTGATGCTACTGGACACTCAAATAAACTGTTAGTGATGAGACAACGAGGAGACGCCAACATGACTGTAGAACCTGCTCAGGCCTTCTGTATGCTAAAACCCTCTATCAATTCCAAGATCACATCCTAGCATGAAGTTTGCAGGATGCCAGGCTGAGCAAGACTTTGAAGAGAGTTTGGAAAGGACTTCCAAGAAGGCTTTGGTCTGGGCTTGGTCACAGTGTTGCAGGGCACGTAAGAGCAACTTCCGAAAGGTCTCACCTGATGTGTGTTGCAGGCAGGGACTCGTACTGGCGGGACAGAAAGAGCTCCCTATGTTTCAACTGGTGCTTCTGCTTCTCAGTCAGGTCAGCCTCAACTGTCGTCTCAGTCTCTTCCTCAGTTTCTTCTACACAAACAAAATTCATAGAATCCATTATTACAACTCATGCTGTCTCTTGGGATATTAAAACAGAATGAACAGACAGGTCAGATTAGTAAATTTGATATTTTCTTCAAACTAATCACTTTTGACCTTCGCATTAAACTTTTCATTGCAATCCCAATCCTAGGTGAAGCTCTTTGGGCTGCCAAGGAAGAAGGCAGACACCAATGTTAAAATGGCAGAACCGGTCGTGGTGATTCACACTTGTGATCCCAGCTGAGGCAGGAGGATCACCAATTCAAAGCCTATTTGGGTGAGCCAGTAAGTAAACAAGCACTACACAGTGAGGCCTGCCTTAAACAAAACAAATGAGCGGGCGAGAGAGCAGTGGCTGGAGAGCTGGCTCTGCAGTTGAGGGCAAGTGCTGCACAATCAAAGGCCGGGATTAGGGCAGCCACAGAACAAGCCTGGTGTCCTTACTAACACCTGTAGCCCCACTTCTAGGAACAGAGACGGGGGGGGGGGGGGGGGGGGGGGGGGGGGGGGGGGCGGGAAGGAACCACTGAGGTTTGCTGCCTTCCAGCCTAGCAGAGAAAACCCAACCCTAGGGTCAAGATTCAAGATAGACCTAGAGCATGCCTTACTGGAATAGACAGAGAATAACAGAAGAGGACACCTAACACCCTCCTCCTTTATGCAGACACACCAGCAAACACACATGTGGACACACACACATACACAAAAATAATAATTTTTTTCTTTTTTCTTATTTTGGTTTTTTGAGACAGGGCTTCACTGCCTCTCTTGGAACTCACTCTGTGCACCAGGCTGGCCTCAAAGTCAGAGATCTGCCTGCCTCTGCCTCCCAAAGGCTAGGCTGAGATTAAAGGGTGCGGCACCACCGCCTGGCATAAATTTATTAAAAAAAAAAAAAAAAAAAAAAAGGAAAATTAAAAGTAAATGACTGAAAAACTAACAGCTAAGATGTGATTGGCAGCAGCACACGCCTGAAATCTCCGCACTCAGGAGGCTGAAGATGGAGAGTTCTAAACGATGCTGGGCTAAGATCTCAAAAATTTATTATATTTTTTAAAATAAAACATTTATTTTGTTAATTAAAATAACATACAAATGAAGCCAGCTGTGGTAGCGCACTTGGGAAAACAGAGGCAGGTAGATTTCTGTGAGTTTAAAGCCACCCCGGTCTACATAGTTTGTTTCAGAATAGCAATGACTACATAGTGAAACCCTGTCTAAAAAAATAAACAAGAGAAAGCGACAGAGACAGAAAGACAAAGAGAGGCAGGCAGAAACAGAGAGAGAGAGGGAGGGAGGGAGAGAAAGAGAGAAAAGGAAGCAGAACTTCCAACTGAATAACACCAACTGAAACATGAGAATTGAGGAAATATCCTTAGAAATTAGAACCTGATTGGCGGTGCACACCTTTAATCCCAGCACTCAGGAGGAAGAGGCAGGTGGATTTCTGTGAGTTCAAGGCCAGCCTGGTCTATAGAGTCAGTTCCAGAACAGCCAAGGTTACACAGAGAAACACGCCCCCCCCGAAAACAAACAAACAAACAAACAAACAAACAGAAATTAGAAACTGAAGCAGGAAATGAATAGCTGAAAGAAAACTAAGCCATTTTAAAGCCCAGGCATGGAGCTTCCAGTGCGGAGCATGCAGGAGACCCTCACATTGAGCCCCAGGACAGCACTACTACCCAGAGTGGAAGTGCTGAATCCCCAGCATGCAAGAGAAAAAGGCAGAAGGATCGGGAAGAACAAGATCACCGCAGGCAATAGCCCAAGGCCAGCTGGGGATCAAGAGAACTGTCACAAAAAGAAACAAATAGCGTGCACCCAGCACTGGAGGGCCCCATACCCTACTCTGCGCACTCAGAAACCAGAACTCACCCTTTTCTGTCTGTGAACTCTATAAGCCATGTCATTCTGGGAGGGGAAAAATGCTTTTAATACCAGAGACTGAGGCAGGGGGATGGAGTTCAAGGTCAGCCTGGCTTTACTGAGTCTAACCCCTATTTCTAAAGCAAAAGCAAAAACCTATAAAGACCAACTTCATAGGAAGAGGAGATAGAAGAAAAAGAAAGAGGAAGAAGAAGAAAGTACCAGAAATAAAAAGAAGAAAATAGTTGTCTTTTCTATCTTTCTATCTTTGCAGGCAGGCAAGGGTGGGGTAGCTATAGGAAACCCCTTCCCTTCTGGAAGAAGACTCACCTCCAGTGCCCTCCACACACTTACTTGTTTAAAAGTGGCAACATGAGAAACTGGGTCAGAGGCGAAGCTACTTGTCTCTGGCGACCCTGTATAAAGACGGGCTGTAAGCAGGTCACCGGTCTGCGAGCAGAGTGAAGAGGACCTTTTACCTGCTCAACGGGCATGTGCAGGAGTGAGGCGCGTGCTACTCAGGGTGCTAGGGGCACTCAGAGATGTGGAGCAGTGACTGAGAAATGGCGCTCAGCCTTGGCCACTGAGGAGCACGGCTGGAGACCACTGGCAAAAACCAAGAGATGAAGTTCTATATGATGGGTCAGGGGTTTTTTGTTGTTGTTGTTTGTTTCTTGAGGCGCTCTAGCCAGGTTGCGGAAGCTCACCTCACACTCACTCTCTTAGTTACTTTTCTCTGGCTGTGAGAGCACGCACAGCAACAGCAACTTAGGGGAAGAAAGGGCCCATTTCACCCACGCTTCCAGGTAACAGAGCAGCACTGAGGAAAGTCAGGGCAGGGAGCTGAAGCAGAAGCAATGGCTGTTTACTGGCTCGCTCACCATGGCTTGCTCAGCCTGCTTTCTTATACAGCTCAGGACCACCTGCCCAGGGGTGGCACATTAACCAAGAAAACACCCGACAGCCGACAGACTTGGCCACAGGCCAACCTTAAGGAGGCAATTTCTCAACTGAAAATGCCACTTTCCAAATGCCTCTAGCTTGTGTCAAGTTGACAAAAACTATCGAGCACACTCACCATCCTCCTGCCTTTCTCTCCTGAATATTGAGATGATGGAGTATACTACCACACTTGTCTACAAGCTCTCTTTTTGACACTACATTTAATATATTTAAAGGGAAGGGGACACCAATCTCACAGACTTAATTCTGATTAATTTGAGCTCCACAATTTAAAAAAAAAAAAAATACAATGCCTCTGGAGGCTCACTGTTACCTCTCAGCCTCACCTGGGGCAGATCGTGTGGTTAGGGGGAATAGTGGGAGCTCAGAGGCTCAGAGAGAGGCTGCAGGAAACAGGAAGAGGGTTGGCTGCTCTTTGCACAACTCAAGAGTGAGCCTGGAACATCTGGTTTCACGGTAGAACCCTTAACTGGGAGACCAGGTGCCAGGTGGATGGCAGCCTATCTAACTGTCACAATCCTTTGTTGCTGTTTCGGTTTTCGTTTTTTTGAGACAGGGTTTCTCTGGGTTGCCTTAGCTGTCCTAGAACTAGCTCTGTAAACCAGGCTGGGCTTGAACTCACAGAGATCTCTGCCCCCACCCCCAAGGGCTGGAATTAAAGGTGGCTCAATTGCCAAAATTCTTATTTTAGGATCCAAGACCACAGAAGGCATTATATCAAACACAATTCCCCACAATTCCTTTTCAATTGCACGAGGGCTTGTCATCTTCTCTAATTTCAAACTGTAAAGGTCTGAACTGAAAACAAGCCTGGAAAACTGACTGATTTTAAAAGCCTCACCTAGGAGCAGGCAAATTGGCTCAGCAGGGAAAAGCACATGCCAGAAAGCTTGATAACCTGTGTTCCAATCCCTTGGCCCCACATAATGGGAGGAGAAAACTGGCTCCCCCAGGTTGTTCGCTGGCCTCTACATATTCGCAGAGGTGGAAATGAAGACACACATGTGCGTGCGTGCGTGCGTGCGTGCGTACATGAACACACACATGCATGCATACACACATGCACGCACACACACACAGTATCAATATAATAAAAGAAAGCTAAAGTCTTACCAAACTCAAACAAAGAATAAGGCAATTCAAGGCTCCTTGAATGTTCTTTCTAATGATGAATACAAAGAGAAACAGCACTAATGGAGCCAGGCCTAATAACATCTCAACAGCGGAGATCAATAAAGTTATTGCTGCATTGGCACTATTAGTACAGCAAATATCACATACAGAATTATGCTCTTTACTTAATTGGAATTTGATAAATTGTTCCTCTAAAAGACATAGCTAACTGAATTCTAGTGGTGTCCCACAGAGAAAAAAGCACCATTGCATATCATAGTAAGAACAGCAAACATGGCTTTTTGTGGGGAGGGGAGGTTGGTTTGTTGTTGTTGTTTTGGTTTGGGACTTTTGGGTTCTTATTGTGGGGGGTTTTCCTCCTGACCCCAAGTTCCCAGAATAAAGACTCATGAGACTCAAAATATATTTACAAATACCTAGGCCATATAGCTAGGCTCTTTTCTGACTAGCTCATAACTTAAAACACCCATTTATTGTTGTTGTTTTTAGACAGCGTCTCACTATGTGGCCCCGCTGGCCTGAATCTCTCTCTATAGACCAGGTTGGCCTTAAACTCACAAAGCTCTCCCTGCCTCTGCCTCCCAATGTTTGTCTGTTTATAGCACAAGCTCTCCTGGAATTCACTACATAGTCCAGGATGACCATAAACTCAAGGCATGTCTCTTACCTCAGTTTACCAAATGCCGAACTGTTTTGTTGTTGTTGTTTTTGTTTTGGGATTTTTTTTTTTTCCCAGTGCTGGGGATAAAATGAAGGATGTGGGCTCCTGAGCAAGCACTCTATCCCTGAGCTATACTCCTGTTAAAATTTTGTTTTGCTTGGTTTTGGTTTTTTGAGACAGAGTCTCAATATGTAGCTCTGGCTGTCCCGGAACTCACTGTATAGACCAGGCCAGCCTTGAACTCACAGAGATCAGCCTGCCTCTCTCTCCCAAGTGTTGGGACTAAAGGTATGTGCCACTACTCCCAGCTTTTCCTTTTCTTTTTTAAGTGTGTTTGTGAATGCCTAGAGAAATGGTTCAG